GAAGAGTTACTGTGAGAAAAAGACTAGAAAAAAGAAAAAAGGATTATGACCACCACTTAAAGCTGCACATTTATTTTGTAAAATGCATTCACTTTGCTAAATATGAATGTTAATGTTTTGAAATTAGCATATCAAAATGTCATTCTATTACCATGGAAATGCCGCAACGAAAAGAATAGGAAATAAGACAGGCATACAACTTGGACCTTGACAAAAACGGGGGGAATTCCAATCTGTATAAGACTTTGTACAATGTTTTTCAACTTTCCATGGCGTGGGTGTGAAGTGAAAAGTAGGAAATCCGCTGATTCAAGGAAAAGTTGCACGAGAAGAATGCAACTATAGAATGCAGAGCTTACCTTTAGCAAATTTGAATGTTTGCATCTCTGCCTCGTGACCCAGGCAGTCCAGAACAAAATACATGAATGCATCATTGCCATGACCTTCCATGCTGAGCGAGAGAGGGGAAACGTTGGAACTACCTGCTGTCTGGATCGCTGAGGTGAGGAGCGGCTGACCATTGCGACCGTCGAGTATGGCAACCTGTCAGCACAGATAGCAAACAAAGTACCTTCTTGGCTAGTTTTTAGAAGATTTTGTAATGGTGAAAGCTGGATAATAATTGCCAAGCGTTGGAAGCTTTTGCGGCAGTTCATCGTCGTCGCGCAGTCCTCAAGCATGATGTGCACAAAAAGTGCTTACAGGCACAAAATTCAATTCTTTGCCCTCACCCATCATAATAAATTACGTGTACATGTGAACATGTTGATCAGCTTTTGACGTTACAGATCAATCAGCATTGCTAAAGCAATGTTGCCAGTGTCCTTCGTCAATGTCAGTTGTCAATGTTTCAGTTCTGTGAATAACTATAACCCTAACAGTCCTCAGTCCTCCAACAGGTGAAGGATTGAGGACTGTTAGGGTTAATCTAGCCTTAAGAGGTCATACAAAGGTCAAAGGTCAAAAGGTACCTTCTTTGAATCAAGAGTCTATGATCGGAGGAAAAACAAGAGAAATCTTAACAAAACAATGGCTTTCCAGGGGACCCAAAGAAAAGTCTCAGGATCTGCAGTATGAAAACATAAAGCAGTACATGGATATCAAGGCCCTGGATATCAAGGCCCTGGATATCAAGGCCCTGGATATCAAGGCCC